ATGAAAAAACTCCCAAACAGGTGATAATCTCCGTCCTCCAGAGCTTGTTTTACTTGGTGTATTTAAATCAGAAGTATATTCTGAAGATGTTAAAGAACTTGTTAAACCTTCTTTTTCAGAAGTAAATTGTAATGAAGTTTCAGGTGCTTTAAATTTTCGTTTGCTTTGCGACATATTATTTGCTTTGTTGTTTTTTTTTGATATAAAATAAAAAAAACAAGAACGCGTGTAAAAGGTATTTATACAATTTTTTTTTAATTTACTGAGAACTATCCGGGAACCATGATTGTGTAATGGTGCAACATTGACTAATTGAAAATATCGAGGTATTAAATTACTAAAAAATTTATCTTGTGATTTCTTATTTCTTTCGATATTACAAGAAAAAAAAAAAAACTAGAAAATAAATAAATTATTATGCTAATGTAAACCCAGCGGTCAATAGCTGAAACACTAGGGTGAATTGGCATTGTCCTTGACTGAAACAAGTATTGACCGTGGATAATGATTTTATTAAAAAAATTCAGTTTTTTATATTTTAATATGAAATAAATAACCAAGCGCCAGTTAGGCACCACCTTTTATACTCAGAAAAAAAATTTTCAATAAGAGTAATTTTAAACTTTAAATTTTTATTTATTATTATGCCATATTACATATTTATTTGTATAATACTCCAAAAAAAAGATTTAAATTTTTTACGCCATATCGATATATTTGTAAAATAAAAATAATACGTATAAAAAATATATCAAATTTATTCAAGCTTTAATGCTATTACCGTTACATATTACATATACATATCTATTTGTATAACCGGTACTGGTACCGGTATATATTATTTTTAGCATTGATATCTTAATAAGTATGATTTTCTATGTCGCTATTACTAATTCTGATTGTTCAGTTAGAATCCCCTTGAGATTTAAAATAGAGTGCATGCATATTCCAAATACGGCGATTAACTCTATATTGACTGTATAATACATAATAACTTATCAGGTTTCGTCATAGATTTCGTCAATTCGTCATAGGTTTCGTCAATTCGTCATAGGTTTCGTCAATTCGTCAGGGGTTTCGTCAATCGTCAGGGGTTTCGTCAATCGTCAATTCGTCAATTCGAAGTCACCTGACGAAATGGTTTCGTCATTCGTCAATGACGAATGATTCGTCATTCGTCAGGCATCATTGGT